TCATTTCCAGGAGCATCCTGACTGGAGAGCTTCTATCCTGTGCAGTTCCTCCCTGCACTTACGGCCAAGCAGCACAAAGTCAGGAACCCTCCTGACTGGCCCTTTACAACATAATTCCCACTGTGTGTGGACTAGTGGAGTCTCACGTGGCCTTGAATGACAGGAAAGCTCCCTCTTCCTGAAGGCTGCCATCAGCAGGAGATCCCATGGAGATCCCATGGACAACACTTGTAAGCACAGGACAAGCAGTGTCTTTTACAGCTCCACCTCCTGCAAATGAGGAATCACTGAAGAAAAGCAGGAGCTTAGGTTACCTAAAACTACAGCATTTACAGCCTAAGCTGCAAATTTACATTCATTTACAGCCTGAGCACCACTTAGGGCCAATGGCACAAGTGAAGCAAGACTGTCCTCAACCATCACTGCACTGAGGTAATGTTTTACTGATTGTCATTGAAACCTGGGATTATTTCTGCACCTGGCTCCGTTCAGTAACTCGGACAAAGAACCTCAGGTGCCATTTCCCATCTCCAAAATGGGAAAGGTGTTTCCCCCTTGCCTCCATGTGGCACGCTGAGGGTGCAAGGTACTGAGGACACTGCTGGAGCAGATCTCCCAAAGCCCTCAGTGCCAGCACTTTTCCTTGGCAGCAATGGCACTGCCTGGCTGCTGGTAGAGACATGTTAAGGATTATTGCATCACTCTTTTCAAAATGGGGCACTTCAGAATCTCATGGCACAGGCTTTGTATTCCTTTCCAAAAAAGATGCATTTCACTGAGCACACACATCAGCTCTCACCTGAGCACAGCCTAGGAAGGACCAGCCAGAGGCACTTTTCCTCTGTAGCAGCCTGGGCAAGAGGACTCCCAGGAGAGAGAATGGGCTTAACCTCACCCATCCCCATCACATGTACCTGTGCCTTTCCTCCCTTGCAGAGGGCATCTGCTGAACAGGAGTTCTCAGTCAGAAGCATCCCCCATCACCCCCTTTTCCAGTGAACACATGGACTGAAATATTTTACTTCAATCTGGTTCTTTCAAGATTTTTTACAGGAGCAAAATTTTAGTTGTTAGAGAGAGTAACAAATTTAATTTCAGTTCCCACCTGCCACAGCTTATGCTGATAGCCTCAGCCAAACATTATCACTTCAGAAGAAATATTATCATATAAGACAGAGATAAAATAGACCAGTAAAAATAAACTGAAGGAGAAAATGATTTCACTATTTAACCTTGTCAGCAAAGGGAAGAGATATTCTGGAGGAAGCTCAAGGCTCAGATACCACCAGTGCTCTTGCTGAAAGCCAAATTATTTTAACATACATGCTAAAAACAAAGATGGGATATGTTATCCTAGCAAGCATTTGCTGGCTGCTTCTGTCCACACCTGTGGGCAGAAACAGTGATGGAGACATAACAAAGAATGAATTACACATTAACTCCTCCATCTCTCCCAGTACTCTGCTTTTAGATGTCAGTGCAACACAGGGGTCAGTGTCAAAGCTAACTTTTTTTAATCCTGAAACACTTCTCATACTGAGTTTGTGACATGACACTTGCACATTTTTCTCTTGGTATCAGCTAGAGATTTACATTGTAAATTGGATGCTGATGAAAACAGCATCAACAACTTCATTCTTTATGGCTGCAATTGGCTTCAATAAATTTAGGATTTTTTTTAAAGCGATCAGTGAACCACAGACAGGTTCCTGAAAAATAAACCTTACCCAGACTAACTGAAAGAATGCATTTTGTTTTTAAAACAACCTGCAAAATTCAGGTAAAACATCATAATTCAAAATCTTGTACTTAATATTTATGGAGAATCCTTTGGAAAGATGCTGCTGCTGGCTCCATCTTTCTTAGACAACTCTAAAGAACTGAAAAACACATTAAAAATTGAGCAGATGATCCTTATTCAAATAATTTGGGAGAAGGCCACAGAAACAAAGTCACCCTGTGTAACCTCAAGCTTACCAATGAAAAATAAAGGAAGTCTGAGAAAAAAAGTAAACTAAAGACACTGAAGAGAAATATTCTTAAATAAATGGATAACCAAGACCATGTCATCGTGTGGTGGCTCCGGGGAGTTCACAGAATAGGGAGTGGCACAGAGTCTGTGAAAATCTGTGTTATGGGTTACACATCTACAAGTGCTCCAGAAGCAGATCCCAGCTGTGTGGGTCCTACATGCATCTCCTGAACCCTTGGCATCTCACCAGAAAAAACCTGCTGCAGAACCTGCTTGAGCCAACACCTTCACAGGATCTGAGCTGGAAGGGACCCACCAGGATCACCCAGTGCAGGTCCTGTCCCTGCCCAGACCCCCCAACAATCCCAGCCTGTCCATCCCTGGCAGCGCTGTCCAAACGCTCCTGGAGCTCTGGCAGCCTCGGGGCCGTGCCCATTCCCTGGGGAGCCTGGGCAGTGCCCAGCACCCTCTGGGGGAAGAACCTTGCCCTGAGATCCAGCCTGAGCCTGCCCTGGCCCAGCTCCAGCTGTTCCCTGGCTCCTGTCCCTGTCCCAGGGAGCAGAGATCAGAGCTGCCCCTCGGGATGAAGCTCAGACTGTTCCAGGATCAGCAGACAGGTGGAGGCAGAACCTGAGCACAGTGGGAGACCCGACCTGCAGGGTGCAAACCTGGACTTCACAGGCAATACCAAAGACCACACCAGCAGACAGGCATGGCAGCAAGGAAATGAACCAAGAGCAAAAGGTAGGCTGAGTATCTGGGAAAAAAAATCTGAAAGAGTGAGAATTAATATAAGGAATTAGTCCTCAGGGAAACAGTGGAAGCGCTTTTGCGTGGGTATTTTATGAGAGACTGGGCACACCACCAACAAATGTACTGCAGGAAAGAATCAGACAATGGCAAGGAAATGGATTAAACGTGTTAGCAAGACAATTTCCAGATCCGATTTCTGTGAAGAGAAGACCATGACCTCACCACTGGATTTGTGGTGTTACCATTAAGTGCTGCCCCATATGAGCCCCAAGTCCCTCACTAGCATGGGTATGGTCTTAAGACAGACCACACCAAAGACTGAAAGGGATCTGGGAGTGTCTCTTCATTGTTATTTTATTTTTGTATTAATGATGGGTCAATTTATGTCCACAGATTTTGTAAGGCAGAATTCACCAGGGATACTGAGGAGGGGAAAACCGAGACACAGACTGAAGCTTTTGGGGAAAACAAGAGGGCTGAAGTTGATTAAAAGAAAAAAAAAAAAAAAAAAAAAAAGGCCGGAGGAACATAATGTTTAAAAACACATATGTGGGAGAAGTGACTTTTTTCCAAGGACCCATGGCAGCAATGGAAACACGGAAAATGGCTGGCTGGCCAAACTGCATTTCTGTATTTGTCTCATCCTTTCCAGTTCACTCCAGTTCACTGAAGCACAGCAGAAGCACCAGCAGCTTTTTCTTGTGTAGGATTCCTACCACTGTAAGAAGCACAGAATCCATTTCCACTCTAGCCAAGATCCAATCAGGGCTCTGTGAAGCACTGTCTGACATCCAAATCAGAGAAGCCACTGCAGATGTAGCTGTGGGAGAAACCAAAGGCCAGAGCTTCCATTTCACTTGTTAACTAACAGAGGTGGGCCACAACATCCAAGTAAACAGGAGCTTACCAAAGGGATAAAGTGCTACATCCAGGATGAGCCCTCTGTAAACACACACTGGCCCATTGAAAACCCTTCCCCTCCTGCAGGAAGGAATTGCTCCATCATGGTGAATTTACTGGCACCTCAGTGAAGCAGCCCAGAAATGATGGAGCTGATGAAGTTGGCCATCAGGGCAGAGGACTGGAACAGAGCTGTCATGTTAAACCAGTGACAAACACACAAAACTCATCTCAATATTCCAAGTTTCTGTCAGCTGTGCAGAATGAGGCACCCTCTCCTGCAGGCCAAGGGTTCACATAAAACCACAACAGCATCTTAATATTTAACACTTTGGGTGGAGGCCTATCTTCTTGCTGAGAGATAATGATTCAGACTCTCTTTGATCTGTATTTCACCATGCCTTTATTTTTTTGTCATCTCATTTTATTTTTTTTTGTGTTCCCCAAAGCTACCAGTCGTTTCTGTTAGCTCCTGGCTGGGTTACTGCAGAGAAGACCATCAAGGTGCTTCACTGGATAGCAGAGCATTTCCTGCTTCCCCATGGCCCTTCCAGATCAAAGAATCGTCAAGCCATGTCCTGTCTCCAAAGTTGGGCAATAGCAAATGCCAAGGGAATAGTAAAGCAGAGCATACATGAACAGATACTTCCCTGACACTCTCCCAGCCTCTAGAAATCTGCTAGACAGAGATGGAGATTGTGTTTGTGGAAGTGTTTGGTCAATTTGTTCAACTGTTTCTTGAATTCACATGAGCTTTAGCATTTGCACCATCCCACACGACAGCTTTCCACAACTTGTCCATGGTGCATGAAAAATTATGTCCTTATGATGGACTTAGAGAGATCTAAACCTTTCCACTGTTATTTTGAAGCTCCACAACTCTGGCATTAGAAGAGATTGGTCACAATCCCTCCCATCTCCTGTTCCTTATTTATCCAATAAGCAACTGTATACAGCAGATGGGAGCTGCAACATCAAACCCAGCCCCATCCCACTGAAATGTCAGAAGAGTTGAGAACAAAGAAACAAAACACAGAATTGAATGTTGAGAATGGACAGGCTTCTAAATTTGAGCCATTTTTCAGAGGAACAAAGTTTTGATCAGCAGATATTTCAGGAACGCTGAAAGATTAGCTTTCATGAATAAAAGGCTCTGGGGAAGTTTCCTTTATTTTCTTTTGACTGTTACATCAGATGAAAAACTCCAGCAATTTCTTTTGTTCTAGTGTTTCCAGAAAAAGAACAGACACAAGCACACCAGATTAATCCATTTCTGTGATTAAGCAGAATCTGAACATGGATGGTTCTGGAAAGCTTTGGGAAACACATGGATTTCCAGTAACCCAGGCACATGGCTCACCACATTTATTGGTACCTCTGAAGGATTTGGAGAGATGAATGCTGAGTTCTGGTGTAAGAGAGTTCATATCTTGCTCTCCTTTCCATGAATTTCAGCAGCAGTTCCTGAGACAATGGGATAAATGCTGTTATCTTTAAGACAGCAGAATCATGAGGCATTCATTGTAGCATCTACCAATAAACTCCTCTAGATCATCTGGCCAAAGGCAGAAAAGAGTAAGGCTTCAGTTAAATAAATCTGCTGAAGCTGAATGCATTTTTTCATTATTTTAATCCGTAGCCCAAATTGATAAAAAATAAGTCCTCAGCCTTGGAGAAACTGAATGTGTACCTTCTTCTACATTGAATGCTGCTGTTTCTTGAGGAGTTAATAAACATCAAATGAATAGAAGAGCTTTGAGTCTGCCACCAGCATGGATTGTCATTTAAATCCTTTCCAGTTATAAGAACAATGAGAACATGTGCCTGGAAAGGGCTTCAGGGAGCCACATCCTTTTAACCTCCTGCAGCTCTTTGGTCAAGGGCTCTCCAGGGAATTTGGCAGGTTGGCAGTGCTGGGAACATCCATGTCCTGCACCTGGCCACACTGAGCAGTGGGGCAGGAACATTGCCAGAAATTATAGACAGGCCTAATTCCAAGAGAGGGCTTCATCTTCAGCAACAACAAGTAAAGTAAGAAGAGAACCTGGTCTCCATTTTATCTGGACTGTTTTAACCAGAACTGACTGTGCAACTGCCATGGAGCAAAGAAGTAAAGTCAGACAAACCCTTTATACAATTTCCATGCCCCACTAATTCCAGTATGCTCCTCAAGGCCTCAGCAAAGCACCTCACACCAATCTGCAAAATTTACTTTTAAATCTTGAAGTTAAGAAATACTTGAAAGAAACATAGGTTTGGGGGCACTATTAGGTCAGGCTCAAACCTACTCGATATCCTGCATTAATTGTGTTTTTGATTTCTTTTGCCCAGTTCAATATAATTGGATATTTCAAAAATGCACTTATTTCTATCCTGCATTTACTCCATATCTCAATCATTAAATTAAGTGATGGAGTGATTTAGCAGCTTTGCTGCATTGTTATAGCTCCAGAAGGCAGGATGGATGCACTGGAGAACATTCAGGAAGACAAGCAACACTTCTGCCAGTCACAGATCAATGAAAGAGGACCCCTATACTATTCTCATTTTTTTATTCTTCATATTACTTTGTATTTTTTTAATGTTTATGAATGCTCCATAATCCAAGGCTGCATTTTATGAATGCTTATAAATGATATAAATATTTCCTGGTAACATGAAGAATCTGGATGAACTAACAGGAAATAAAAGATATCCATCTTCCAGAGAATGAAATGGAGTTTCCATCTACAGATGGTTCAGTGGCACTTGTGTACCTGCCACTCCTTTTTGGAGATTAGAAGATACTGCACGATTTGTCAGCTGAAATGGACTGGAACCACCTCAATACAGCCTCCTGTTGTATTTGACAGTCTCCCACCCCATCCCCAGGACAGCAGAGTCACCAGGATCCTGCTGGGTAGGGCTGTCCAACCACATCCCCATGGGGTTTGGTGCAAGCACTGATGGGAAGTGGAAGGAAAAATGAAGCATATTTGCTTTGCACCCCACTCTGCCTCGGGGGTTCTGGCAAATCTCCTTGCTCATATAGCAGAGTTTGGTTTGTCCATGGTTAAACCTCAGCAGCTCCTTGACAAGTGCTCTAACAACCATACAGGGAATGGAAACCAATGCCAGAAGAGACAGGAAATGGGGAAAGCGCTCTCAAGGACTTTGCTCCGAAAGCAATTTCCCATTGTTCACCAAATAGAAGCATTTGAATTCATTGATTTGGTTTTAGCCAGGTTCTTTTTTGGCAGGGCACGTTGCCTCGTTTTCTCCTCTACTTTGTTTAAGACATATCTTACAGTTTGTCTCGTTATCAAAGGACACACACTTCTAGGAAAACCTTCATTTTTGGATCAACTCCTGCCTTAGACACTTCTCCCTGCTGGCTGCACAGATCCTGGGCTGACCAGCCCTGTGAGGCACAGAGCCACAGCAGATGTCAGCCTTCACTCCGTCCCAGGGATTTCTCAGTCCCTTAATCCAAAAATACAGTGTCTGGTCTCTCTCCAGGCAATGGGAGGAGATGCAGGACTCAGGGCATCACTCACAGACCCATAAGCACTGCAGTTCTCCTGGACTGGAGAACCAAGGGGATGGGTGGCATTTCAAACAGCACCTAAAGGAGACTAAAAAATCCAATGAAACCACACCACACACACAGCACAGCAGAAGGCCAATACTGAAACACGTGAACACAACCAGTTGATTCCAAGCTATTTTCCATTCTAGAAAAGGCATAAACCAGGCTTAGAGAACCCCAACAGCAAGAATGTAATGCCCTTGTGATCTGAAATTGCTCATAATTTCACAAAACTTTATCTCAGCGGATATTTCCTTGATGGAAATTGCAGACTGATTTACTTGAGAAAATTCCTTCATAAGCATTTCCTCCATTTCTGAAACACCTCTGTTTTCCATACCCGGATGTGGCTTTGCCATTCTCATTAAAATCTCTGAAAATCAGGCCAAGTCGAGAGCCCCAGAAAAACCTTCATTTACAACAGCTCAGCGAAGAACAGCTAGAAGGTAAAACTTAAATTTCTTTTGGGGCCCTAAATTCCTCCTGCAGCCACAGCTATTGTTATCACAAGGTTACTAATGAACAGATTTCCTTCATCCCACTTGTGCCCTGCATGCCAAAATGCAAAACTAGATACTGACCATGTGATGACATTTGAAGGTCATTCCTATCCCCAGCAGCTACCACAGAACATTGCTGCATTCTTATCATCACCATCATCATCATCATCATCATCATCATACCTGAACACACACCAGGGCAGGGAATCTAAATCCTTGCTCCTTCTGCCACCCTGGTCTCTTTTTCATTGACCAGCAAGTTCTCTTTTTCCAGCTGAAGGCTGAAGCAGCATCTGCACCAGCACATCTTCTGCAGACCCTGGCATATCAACATGGCCAGGGTTCTCACCCCATCACTAACAAACCATGCTTTTGGTAATATTTCCTTTAAGGAGACTCTTCGACGTCACCCACATTCCCTTACTCCTGAGCATCTCTCTGTTTCTATTGGGCACTCTGGGCTGCTTCCCTCAAAGGAGGTGCTAAAAATATTAATCTGCAAAACTGACTTGAATTATCATACAAGTTCGTTCTCATTTTGATGACCAGCTTCTGGTTTCACCTCTGAGTTGAACCTAAACAAAGTCCCATGTGTTCCTAACACTGTGACAGGGTGATCATGCATCAGCAAATTCCATGAGGTCCTTCTGGAGTATCCCAACATATCTCAGTGTTACACACCATGAAATCAGTGAGGTGGGAAAAGACCTGGTCCAATGCTTGACACCCCTTTCCATGAAAAACATTTTCCTAATATCCAACTTAAATCTCCCCTGGCACAACTTGAGGCCATTTTCTCTTGTCCTGTCACTTGTCACCTGAGAGAAGAGACCAACCCACAAGGTTCTGTCAGGGAGTTGTAGAGAGTCACAAGGGAAGAGAAAAGTCTTGGCTGCATCCTGTTTTTGGTACTTTGCACAGACACACCAAGGAGATGTTGGCCAGCTTCAGCCAGGAATGATCAACAGGCTCCTGGAGCATCTCAAGGTTCTTCCCACACTCTGCAGGATTCTAGAACTTTATATACAAGATTGTTCTTGTACATAAAGGCCACAGACTTTGCTTCAGTACTGGGCTCTTCTAACTTCACCCCACTGTTCCTATTGCATTTACTTCTATTGGTGATGGAAAAGCTGAGAACTAGAAAGGAGACAAAATGAGACCTATCACAATTTGCATTCCCAAATAAGCATGTTTTCACACAAGATAAGGAGCAAACATCCTCCACATTAGGGCTCCCAGTAATTTCTTCCTGCAGTGAAAAAATGGTTCAATTCCCCAGAAAGAATCAAAAGATGAGGCAGAGTTTTACCTGCTGCATGGGAAAAGGTGGGGGGACATGGGCTGACTCAGGAGACAGAGGTGATTACTTCCTGCCATTTACTTCTTCCCCAACACTTTTATCTCTGTTGAGTTTGCAAGTGCCTTAAGCAACATATAGCACATCTCCTCAAACCTGGCTTTCTCAGCTTCAAGTGTGAAATTAAAACCATCCCCAAGGAGACCATCTGTGCAAGGCAGCCTATAGGAAATGGAGCTTGCACAGATGGGACTTATCACACACTTCCTCGTGCCATATCAACACACCAGCTTTGCAAATCTGCCCTAAATAAACCAGAATTGACAACACATTCTGTCTTGAGGCCAGCAGGGCTGTGGAAGCCTAGCATGTACTTGGCAGGGGCTGGATTGTTCTCTGCACTTTTAACAAACAAATCCTCATAAATGGAAAACTTGTGAACGTTCAAGTCTTGTGTTGTGTTCAAATGTCTGGAGGATTGTGTTCAGCAGTCTCCTGGAGGGATCAACTAATTGGCCTTTGAATTCCTAGACATGAAGCTGTAGGTTGCTTAAAAACTAGCAGGACATGACATGGCCTCCTCACAATCCACAGTGGGGACAGACACTGGTCTGGAACATTTTCTAGTTCCATTAACTCTTCACCAACACATAAAAATAACACTTTAAAGATGTTTATTTTTACAAGTTACATTAGGTGAAAGAATATAGCTGAGCAATATGGCTGAACACATATGGAAATACTTAAGCAGCAGCTCTATTTTCTGTCCAAGCAGTCTGTGTACAAACACAATAAACTGAAGTTACACACATGAAAACTCAATGCACTATATGAAAAAAAAAAAAAGACCAAAAAGTGTGTTTTCATAAAAGAAACTTTTTTTTTCTTCTTTTTTTTTTTTTTTTTGGCAAGAAAAGCATCTGAGAGAGGAGGGCGTAGCTTCAAACAGGCAAGCACAGAAATAATAAAATGCATTTTGGGAGAATAAAGCACTGAAGAGGAGCCTTCCCAGGTCAGAACATACCTTCACCTGGCCAGTGCCATGTCTCAGACAGTAGCCTAAGGGAGAGAAATGGGAGCTGTGTCCCCAGCTCATCCCCTGACTACAGCAGCCTGCAGTTTAAAATTTCCACATCAGGTCTTCAATACTGATACAACACACTTTTTGACCTTTGATCCAAGAATGGATCCAAGCACTACCCTGCTGCAAACCCTCAGCACCAGAGTAGTGTTGCACCAGGTGCCACATTGTACTCAGCAGGCAAAGCAGTGTTTCCTTTTCTTTTTCCTGAACTTCCATTTGATGTCCATAATTTTGGCTAGGGAATTAAGGAGAAATGGGGAACAACTGCTTTTGTCCCATTCCTTTGTTCAGGCCCAGATGTTCTGCATTTGCAAACTGTCCCAGGATGTGTTCCTGGGGGAAGCAGTATCTCCTTTAGCTATAGCTGTCTCACATGTTTCTCCACATCTACTGACCCAAAGTTTAACCTGCTGGTTTGTTTTCCAATTCCACAGGACCAGAGGGTAGGTACTTCGGCAGTTTTAGATCTGATTACGCCAAAGCTTCGAATTCCCTCAGACTTTATTTCTCCATCCACTGCCTCCTCAGGTCTCCTAAGACTTCTGTCAGTCTCATGCTAACTGCTCTTGGGTATAACAACCATCACTGCTACACCTTTTCTCACCTTTTAACCAGTCACTGGTTTGCTAAAGAACATCCTCTTATCCCCAGGAAAACAGCTGCTCTAAGGTGCTGTGACAAAGGACCATGTCAGGAGCTGTTAGAAAATCTGAGGACACCACACATGAAACACCCAAATCCAGATGTTTGTCCTTGAAGATTCCTCAAGTGCAACTCCCTTTTACAAAAGACATGCTTACTGCTCCACATCCATATAAAATCAAGTGCCAACTCATTCTGATCTACATTATTCTTTTGACAACACTGCACAATACAAAGCCAGATTTCTGTCTGCTGCTCCCCAGGTTCCCTGGAACTCACTTGCAAGCTGGCATCATATCAGCCCTGTCTGTTTTCTAGTAAGAGTGAGGAGATTTTAATTGAAAGGTTGCATACAGGTGTTATTTATTCAGCAGCTCCTCTCCTGACTCGTTCCCAGGAGTCTGACATTCTGGTCCCTGCAGGCAGGTATTGCTCACTCTGTTCTTAAATTCTTAAATTAGTAGTTGGGTTTGAGATGGGTTCTGGTAAGGAAACCAAAGCACAATGTAAATGCCTCAGAAACCCAGTGTTTCTTTCTGCTCCACCTCCTGATTTTTCACACGCTGGTCTCCATGGGTTTCTTCAAGCTTTTGGACAAGCTTCTTATTCCCAACATATCTGGGAAAGAACTGTTACATTTTAGACTTTCTGAAAGGCTTTAAAAGTGTTTATTCTTTTCTA